TGCACAGCCACCACCCGTCTGTCAGTGAAAGCCTGCATGTTCTATGATGCTGAAGAGATTTCAGTGGAGCTTCCAGACTAATATGGACTAGGAAGAAAGGTGCACTGATCTATATTCTGAATACTCTCAGGAGTCTCCCCCTCAGTTCTAAAGCTCTTGTATTATCTGGGTTCCAAATAAGATTTCATTTGAAAAATTAGATCTGCTACTAAAAATTAAAGACTAACGTCCAAAAGTAAACGCGTATCCTGGTATAGAGACAGTTAAGTTAGATGAAAAGCATCAAGCAAGAAGACAACCCTTATGATTCTAAACTTTGTGGTACAATTCTCTGAACTATACTATTTGCATTTTCAGTATCATTACTATTCTATTTAAACAGTACTTTGTTACAATTTTCATTACTGAATTATTTACAAAGACAGGTTGTACCGAGTAAATAATGTTTTGTGTGTGAAATTACTTATGATGGATTCGACAGGAAGATCCCATGACACACTACTTTTGACTGACAATGTATTCTAAATTACCTACAAGGCTTTCTTTGCTTAAAAAAAAAATTCAACTCTTTCAAAATCAAATTATGAGATGAATCATTTTATTCCTAATGGGCCATTTTATTACAAAAGCTCCTTAAAACTCCAATACCAATACTTTATACTGAAGCGACACTGCTATATTAGTCATTTACAAACTTTTAGGGTGTGAAAGCTCCTTCAAACTGTAATACCTGCGAATACCTGCCTTACCTGCAACACCTGAAAAAGCTCCTTAAAACTGCAATACCAATACTTCGTAATGAAACAACATTGCTACTTTAGTCATTTATAAACTTTTAGAATGTGACAGCATTTTAAAAGTCGCCTAAATAAACCTCTCCTCGATTCCTTAACTATTCCCCTATCCTAGTATTATGGAATAAAGCTGCTTAAGTTGTAGATACTTTTACTCTACTACTTTCATGGCATCTCATGAGGACCACCTTTTCTGGGGTAAAGGAAATTATCACTTATTCTTGATGCTAATGTCTATGACCTGCTTCTAATGATGTTACAGATACATAGAGCTTTATATGTTAAAACAATTTAATGAGAGACTCTCAGCATTATGTCTGTGGAAAAATTAAGTGCAATGTTGCGATAGTCAGATGATGAAGGATTGATTTTAGAGATAAAGTATCTCAGCTTGTATACAGTGTAGGAAATATCAAACCGTACCTTACTGGTACAACTCTTGCACCTGCGGACTCCAGATATTTTACGTAGGATGCAGCAATATAGTATTTTCCAAGGTTTCTCATCTTATTACGGCACCTTTGCATTAATATTCCTAAATAACAAAACAAAAACAAATTTAGTTTCAAGCAATTTCCTTTTTTCCTGCTCAGAA